TTGACTAGACGATTTGGCCTTCGTCCAAGCCACTGTAAGCAAGGTCTAGAATAACTGCAGGCACTTCTCCTGGTTAGCTGTGACGTCATGTATCGCTGGCAGGAAACAGGAAGTCATCACCTTCTTAAAATGCTAGGAATTGCCTCTGTCGGCGTAAGGCAAATTCTCCTGGCGACAGTAATTGCTTCGAGATCACGAAATATAAATGCAATATAATTAAGAAAGCGACGTTACTTTGACAGTCTGCCTACTCAGTAATTCTTGATTATATTTCCAGCGTTTATTAAGAAACCACTACATGTTTCGATCTTAATTGGTCATCTTCAGGTGTTCGGAACTAATACACATGACTGTTAATTTGTATAAATATTTTATGTTGTTGAAAACACCACGAAGTTGACCAAATAAGATCGAAACATGTAATGGTTTGTTAATAAACGTTGAAAGTATATTCAGAAATCATTGTGCAGGCTGGCAACCTGACGATCAACATACGACAGGATATATCCATTGAAACTAAGAAAGCAGCTTTTAGAAGGAACAAAATTTAAGTATAACGGAAGAAGGTTTTTAGAATATCTCTGTGCTGCTTTGGAGTGATCCAGCTGCAGTTTTTATAATTTATTTTATTTTTACTATCTTAAGTATTAGCTAAAGTTGAAATATAGCAGGCTATGAAGAGAATATAAACATAGCAATTTCAGAACCAAAATTAATTGTATAACTACTAATTTCGTTATTACATAATTAATTACAATAATATAATTTGTAGAATGGATGATTATATTTGATACCAGAAATGGTTATAATCCCACAGAAAATTAAAATACAAACAGAGCCACTGGCTCGTCGGAGCGTAAAATACTACGATTTACTAACGCAGTGGACACAGGAACAGCAGGAACACACAAAAACACTGAGTTATTAAATGGGAATGTGTGAATATGGCGGTGTATCCCTGGGGAATTATAACACGTTCCCATCACACTCCCTTTCTGAATCCCTCGCCACCGAGTACAAAAAATAATAACTCGTAGAAGCGATTCCACCCATAAGTTCTGTCATTCTTTCCCACTCCGTGACAATACAACACGTTATTTGTAATTGGTGAGTGCGTGGTTCCCCCTTTCACCATGAATCAGTTTCGCCATTGCATCGTGTACCTACGTGGCATCCCGTACTCACTATACCGCCGTCCTCTCGAAAGTTGTACCCAGAATCCTCCTTGAGAAACTGAAAATCGCCAACTTGTGTCAGAATTTACCAACCTGGGTCTCGGGTTCGATTCCCGGCGGTGCCCGAATTTATAACTTGTGTTGGGCAAGGCCGTGGTCTAGGCAACACGGAGTTTTCCTCCGTGGCATCCCAACAATTACTCCATTCACACACAGAAGAAGGCAATGGCAAACCACTTCTGGATCATCTGCCAAGAACGTATATGAACAGGTCCCAGTCCGAGAAAAGGATGGAAGGATCCTGTTCATATGGACCTGTCGTCAGATAGAACACTAAATAAAAATTAAAAATAAGAGAGTATACGTTTCAATGACCCAAAATTCTTCGACGTGCTCATCACAGATTCTTGATTTCATCACCATATTTATATTAAGAAGAGACTGAAGTTATTTACGACGTTTTTTTTTTTTTAATTTCGCCCATAATTCTGTTATGATCTGCCCGTCACAGATCCAAATTTTGTTCTTAGAGTTTCGTTTTGGACAATTCCCTTAAATCAATCGTAATTTTCGCCGAGACACGTCTGACAGGATAAAACCTAACAAGTATTACCGCTACTTGAATAAACATGTTTAAATAGATACCCAGTGAGGAGGGTAAGCACATTCTTGCGGGAAGTTTGCCGTTTTGTGGGCCGACATCCAGAAACCAGGAAACGTTATGACCGTGGGGCCTGAGAGGGAAAACATGTCCGACAAACAGAGACACACCTCTCTCTATAATATCGGGACGACTTTATGAGAGTCCGCTCTGGAAAAAGGCAAAAATGTGGCCGAAGTCTACCACGGGCGCAGTAAAGTGTGCTGAGCGTTAGTCGTTATCACCCGCGCTGTGGGGCTCAGCTGAGTTACAGTAAGAGCCCCACTAAAATCCTTCCATTATGGCATCTTTTGAAGTATAAAAAAAATCCCACTTTTGAGGTGGATTATCGAACGAGATCAGTGAAAATAGTTGCGTAGTTCATGTGGTCTTGCTTCGAATTCGAAAATTCTATATCCAGGGATATAATAAACTGATTTAGAACTTTGTGATTTTTCTTAATTTCTTTTAATACCGAGGATAATTATATTTACGCTTTTAAATGATCACTACTTAAAGCTGAGCTAGTAATATGTCTCGAACGTTTAATTTCTCATATTTCAGAGCGACTAAAATAAGAATCCTGCGATGATATTTTGATATTAGACTCTAAAAAAAATGTAAAACTTAAGCTGGACGAGTTGTTGAAAATATAAAACTTAAACTTAGCAACTGCGAAATAAAGTATTTAAATTACCCGTTTGAAGACGATGTGTAATAAACTACTGTAATTGGTTTATTGAACGTGGTACGGAAATATATCTTGAATAAACCTATATGCTAATCACAACCGAGGAGACTGTACATACATTATTACTTAAAAGTACTGATGAACTATACTAGTAAAAATTTTGTACACAAATATATTCTTTATTGAAGCAAATTAAATAAAATAAATTCATGAGTTGTTCTCACGAATTCCTTTCATTAGATGACCTAAGAGGAAGATGTCTTCCCCTTGCAGGATCAATGTAGACCAAAGATTTTTCATGGATTTCCGCTGTACCATTACTTCATTTCCTTTTTTCCGTAATTTTATACCCAGGGGATTCTTCAGTTTTAATAACTGATTATTCTTTAGATATTTAAAGCGTTATTATCAGATAATTATTATTTCTAGTAACGTGAACTTTCGCATATACCAGATTACTTGTATTTATATACATTGGAAAAATTCCAAAAAATATTGGAGTAAAACCGAAAGATTCAAAATTTTCGTGAAAGTAATTCACGGAATGAAAGGTCTTTGAGGACCACTGATACAGATACTGCGATTATGTTTGTGATCATGGATTTGTACTTAGAAATAAATAAATTAATTCTGAAAAACATAAGTTAAAGTTTGAGCTTGGTGAGATTTCAGTTACAAACGCAAAAAGGTATGAAGGTCACTTGTCTTCTGTAAACATGGAATGAGAGGACAATTTTGAATAATAAAATGGTTGGGCTGTTACAGGATAAATGATTTCGTGTCGAGATTAAAAGCGCGAGTCTTCGGAGTAGAAAGAAATACTAACCACGTCGAATTATCATACAATTCGTATATTTTCCTTTTAAGCAAACACATCTGTAAAAGAATGTGACAGGAACATTCAGTGATACAAAATTTATTCGAATTTAAATTTTTCATCGTGTGCTGTCAACGCAGGTCAATTATTGACGCAGAGAAACGTCACTCGGGCGTCACATTGTGGTCGAACTCCGGACCATCAATAAATAAACGTCAGACTGCGTCACGTATGGCGAAACGCGTAAGAAAATCATGGCGCAAACCAGGAGGGATGAACAACCGACAGCATCACTACTCTTCCATATTCGTACTTGTTCAGTGCGTTTAGGAAATAATGTACTTCGTTCAGTCCAGGTTCAAACGCCTGTCACCGCTGGACCAGCCCACGTGACTCGCCGACTGACAAACCGACATCTAATTGCATTTTAAACTTTGTGTTATATTGGGGGGGGGGGGGGTACAATCTAATCCGAGAGGCCCACGAATGAAACGTCACCATCATCCCGTTGAAATGTCAGCCTTCCCAGATCGCACCAGTGGCGTTTCAATCAAAATGCCACACATTAAATCGCTTAAACCAAAAGTATTTAACTTCGAACTGATAAAATTAATCTATAAGTAAAGACAAGTTGTCCTCGTTCTTAAGCACGCGTCGTGAAGGCGTCTAGAGGGCGTGTAGGTAAAGTGCCAAGACTCCTATGTCACGGCAGATGGATAGAAATAAGAGGTAAACTTACCCCGGCCGTCCACTCGGTGGAACGAGCGTGGTGACGAACAGAGGAACTACGTCGACTGCCGGGAAACAAAGACGGTAAAAGAATGTGAATGTGAAATGCATGAAGTTCTCGAAGTCTCTCACAAATGCATTGTCTGCGGCTGTGGTGGTTTTAATTGCACAGTTAAACACGCAGTTTTCAAATTACAATTAACTGCTAATTATTTCTCTCTATGCCATTTATAGCGTGTTTCTTCGCTATCATCATCATGTTTGGGGCCCAGATACACTTTTGAAAGATTCAGTATCAAAATATTTGACCACTTTTACTAAAAATTTTCTCTAAATATTCAGAAATTTGTAACTTACTCTTAACATTTATATTTTACAATTAGAGAACAATACGGCGTACTTATAACTTCACTCTTGTACCAATCGATCTAAGAAAGAAGAATCAATAGTAGGACTAATGAAGCTAAAATACGAGTCTTTTATTAATGTGTACTCCTTCATAAAAATTTTGTTAACATAGCCTATCAGCACAGATGGCAATTGCGTGCGAAATCTTATTCCAAACGCTCGAAAGGAAGAGACCTCTCGGAAGACTTAGTTGTAAATGGATGGAAAGTGTTAAAATTGATTTTGGGAAGACGCTCTGTGGACTGGGTTCATCTGATTTAGAATAGGGACTTGAGGCATGTTTGTGAAATATAAAAATAATAATAATAATTCGATTTCCATAAAAAGCAGGAAATTCTTGAGCATTTGGGCAAATATTATGGTCACAAAAGGACTCAACCAGATTTAATCACACATACATAAATGTACTGCTCTATATAGTTTTATTATTATTATTATTACTTTAGTAGAAAGGGGCATACTTTCGAACCTCAAACATAAATTTTGTATTTTTGACAAAGATTTACGTTTTTATTCCACATTGAGACTTTGTTGGTTCCTTTTTTTTTAGAGCAGCGGACTCAATAATACACAAAAAGCAATTGCATTCCTTTAGAGCCAGCATGGGAATTGTTTAATGTCGTATGGCTTCTGCCCCTTGGTGAGTTTCATCCCCGTGTTTGATGGAGCCGTCAGCCTATAAGTTAGCAATTACAGTCTGCCTGGACTTCGACTAGGGGAGGGGAATTTTCTCCTCGCTGGACACATCTTTCACGACTGCAGCTGACTCACGTCCCTCATACCACCTGGACCACATACACAGTCTTTCGAAACAGGGTTGTAGACATTTAACGATTCAGTATCAATTGCAGTGGTTCAAACGTCAGACGATGATTTCGATTAATTGTCTACGGTGATGTCAGACAGCTAAGAAGACATTTCTTGTCTGCAAAGAAAGAATTTCATTGTCAGCGAGAAACTCTACAGGGCAAAGGATGCATCTGGATAATATGTGCATTGAGACATCTTCGATCACAGCACAAAAACATTACAGGGCCCTTACCTTGCAGATTTCCGGCATATTAAGGTACATCTTCATTCCCAGCGGGTCCAAAAGTCTTCCTACACAATGTTTAACGGGGTATATATCATCAGAGGTAATGCGACCGGGGCTGGAGTCTGAGCAATCATCTCCACACAGTATCGAGGTTTTAAATGCGTGGAACTTTACTATATTTCTTTATGGAGCGGTTCTTAAGGGCAGGGACAACTTCACCTTTACCTTTCTCAATCAAGACGCGGTCCATTACATTTCTCCCTTCCCATAAAGCAAGCTGTCGGCTAAAAGTCTAGCCCAGGGCAGATAATGCAACGAAACTCCATATCATTAATTACGGTAATTAGTTCTCCCTTAGCTCAAAGACGGAGTAGCCTATGCAAGATCCCTGTGAATAGTGATTCGTGAAGGAAGGTTTTGGTATTAATGAAAACGGTGTAATTCGAGGTTCATTAGGCAGGGCTAATTAGGAATCGACACCGTTATTGAGCCAGGAAGGTACTATATAAAACAAGAAATTCTCTCAATGAACCTTTTTGTTCGGTCTTGAAACTCACTTTCTTTGCAGGGGGTAATCGAGAACATATAATGTTCGAGCAGTCTCTTTTTAATTAACCCATCGAAGAATTAAGAAAACAAGCAGCCTGTAAGAAGAAGAAGAAGAATAAGAAAGGGGAGCAGAGTAATGAGCGAGATTGTTTAACAGAACGGGCTTGGAAGTGGCAACACTTCGTAGAGTTAATAGAGACTTAATAAATTATAAAAGTTAGGTTTATCTTTAATTACGGCTTGGAAAATGAGTTGAGAGTATTATATTATGTTTTTACATCTCTGGAATGTCTTTATTATTATTCTTTTAATTTAATATGTGATGTGTAGTCCGTGTGTTGATTTGTCTGCCCTCGGCTGCGTCAATGAACCCATCAGTTACAATGTTACTTTGCATTTGTACCCGTTCAATTACGCTCGTCCTCAAATTTCTGTTCCGGCTCCAACCGATGGAATTCTATTCTCGACACTGACGTTTCATTCGCCACCAACGCGTCCAGATCTGTTGTGGAGAACCCCAAACTCTCGTCAGCTGCAAGCCGGTGGTGACTAACCACGCCGGCTGAGTTCGCAGAGACAACGTATTTATTTCCCTCTAACGCCACTTCTAATCCAGTTCTGTAACAACCCAGGTTACCATCCAGTGAACACTCCGAAGATGAAGTTCGATTCCAGAGAGGTAAAAATAATTTTCCTTTCACCACTGCGTCAGGACTTGAGTCATTTTTCCTTCCAATAGGTTCTAGATGCATCTAGTGATTTATATTTGCTCTCATACTTAAAATCGACAAAATTCCATGTAAACAAAATTTACACTATTAATTTGTCAATATTTCTATAAGAAATGTTTTGATTTCATATTATTTTAATCCACACGGTAAGTCCACCTATGCATTTCACCACGAAAGGCATAATTGATACATGACCGTAATAAGGGTACAGAAATCCCTGATTTTGAATTTACTCGATAAGAGTAGACAAATTCACGGTCCGATCGCTTTAATCCAACGAAAGAACTTCCGACAACCATTGGATATGGATTTGGGTAGACGTTAGATCCGATCGGCGTGTTTATCGAAATGAAAACACGTCCTTTATCGGAAATCCAACCTCGGTCGTCCAGCCAGTAGCAATTTTCGTTATTGAGATAGTCTTACGCTTTGACATTTGATAATTCACAGGACTGCAGAAAAAACATCAGTCTATTTTACGGTAGGAATCTCTTAACCAAATCCGAGACGCTGTTATCACTATCCGTGGGTTAAACTCTTCCTTCCTAAACATAGTAATTAATGATTCAACTTTCAAGAACATGAACAAAAAGTCTATATGCCTTTAAGGCAATTCGTTTACACTGTTTATAAATTGTCTTGCTTTAGACAGATTAATTAACATCATGTTTTGAATCTAGTAAATAGAAAATGATACAAAAATAAAACAAGAAAGTCATGTTGGCTCTCAATGAACGGAATGAATACAGAGTTTCATTTTACATTTACCGTCTCCCTTGTTTCTAATCAATGCAAATGTTTCGATTCTCGTATCGTTCCATGAACAAGATTTCATAACTAAGATTGCTGTCTTCAGCTTTGTAACGCCATGAGGTCTGGTAGAAGTTTGCCAACGTTTCAGAGATCCTCGCTCCCTCCTTCATCAACTGGGTTATTGTAACAAAAAAAATAATTCTGATAAAGTCTTCTCGGGCAATCAACTGCTCTAGGCGGTCGCTTAAGAATCGACGTTTCGATAACCGTCTCGGTCCTCATCATCAGGGATATGTTGTATGCGGAAAACAGGATTTCCCATAAAGTTTTCAGAGGATCATGAGTAATATATGTGTCACAGCGAAATATCGTCCCATCTCACATGTTCCATCACCCTTCACTTTAATATTACCGTTTATGGGAGTGTAATAAAATGCATGTTTGAAATACTCTGTAATAGGATAATATTCATAAAAAAATTTATTTAAATCATTTCAGTGTTTCTCGAATCCATTATTTAGTAGAATGTAAAGTTGGTGCTACCATTGATACCAGTACAATCTCGTTGGCTAAAGACATGACAGACGTATAGAGAAACGGATAAAACGTAATTAGAAGGTGTTCTTCGCCCGCGCTTAAAAGTAAAGAACGCCTGAAAAACCAATGGTTTCTGTCTTATCTCAGGAACATCAAAGATCAATGTTGATACGCCACTGATCAGCCACCCCCCGGGAAATACAGACAGCGGTGTTAAAGACTCAGTGGCTTCAAACACATTTCAGGATTTCCAAAGAGCATTGTTAAACCGCCGCTGATTTGTCAGGGATATCAAAAGAGATAAAACGCCACTGATCAACCGCTTCTCAAGAATATCATCTCGCTGTGCTGGATGATCTGTTTCCCCATGTGACCCAATTTGCTCCCCGATCACAAAGAACGTAAGAAGAATAAACAAGGAATTTCAGAACTCATCAAGAAGAGGCTTAGGTCTCTCTCATCTCTGTGGTGAGGGGCTTCGAGATTTCACCTTGCCTGCTGTTTGACTGGCTTGGAAACATCCTGATAATGGGTAGCCTTCAGTATCCGCAGACCTGCCACCTATTGTCAGTCTCGCAAACATTATATTTACGAGATTAGTTCAGTCAGGTAAGTGACCGAATACGTGATTATAACGGGCATTCGATTTCGGAAGTGAAGAGCTTGTGTCTTTGCACTAAGAGTTCTTGAATCTGTAATCTTATAACACCAGCATCCTGGAGTAACAACGGTCTCTCAGGTAATAAAGAAATTTCATACATTTTCTTTTCCATTTTGTATGTTATGACCGCGTTAACATGTCACTAAATCCTATCTGAGCCAGCTGAATGTAAAGTTTTGAACATTATTTCCTTAAGATGTATTTTAACATAATCTTTCCTATAAAACTTTATAAAGAGTAAAATTTATAAAATTGCCTTTCGTTATTCAGTTGTATTCAGCTTTGCGTTGACCAAATGATGGAGGTAGCAAGGACCTCTGAAACGTCGGAAAACTTCTATCAGACGACGTGGCACAACAACCCAGATGACAGCCATCTTTATTAGTGTTAATTCTTAGCGGGTCAAACATTTAAGTCTTCGCTGCGAAATCTATTAAGAATCCATGTTTTCAGGTTGTACCTTATCTCACTCAAAACAAATTGACCATCTTCGATAAATTGGCAACCAACAAAGCCTATATATAGTAAGAAGACGCAGAGTGGTGGCAGCTGACGAAGGAAAAATGTTGCACTTAAACTCCTACGCGCTTAGTACAACGGCTTAACGTCATAATACCTAAACGCTAAGCCACAGCACCACTGAAAGTTACGTCGAGGGACCTGGCAATGAATCTCGCCTTTGATCGAGACTGTACATGCAGGTCTGTTAATAAACATGGATGGGATTAGACCCATTTCGGTCTGCAGTCATGTGATCTATAACAAAGTTCTTTTTAGTCTACATACACGTTGATCTTTGGGGTAGCAAAGCCTTGCGGACGTTTAGGAAGATACCAACTTTTCGGAGACACATACTGTCTTCATCTTCACGGTAGACAGTATATGTTTCTACGAAGTTTCACGAACGCATGGTTTCCCTGTAGTGACTAACTGACTGACTGACTGACTGACTGACTGACTGACTGACTGACTGACTAACTAACCCTGTAGTGAGTACACAAATGAATATGACAAAGACGAGTGGTGTCTGTTCCAGGTCGAGTTGAATACACTGAGAAAATCAGTCATAATTTATGATATCCTAATTGCAGATAGCATGGTCTTTCTTGAGAATCTACTAGTCGTTGAGCTGGCGAAGTAATCCCCTTCTCTACAAAACATAACTGGCTCTATTCTAAGCCAGAAGAATGTTGTCCAGACCTTTAGTTCCTGAATATTTGTTTTAATGGACAATTATAATCTTTTCTAGATCTTCAAGGCTGCATTTTGTTTACAAGTTTTATGAGTAAAATGATCTGTATATTTCTTAGCCTATCTCCCCCGTTCGTAACATCGTTCCCATCAATAAAAATTCATTTTTTTAATTACTTAATGTTTCAGCGCAGATTTATGTCATGACATCCTGAACAGCACCTACATTTGCGTTACATTTTCCTTTTCCTTACACTTATGTTACCAGTAACCCAGGGCTATAGATTTTCCTTACATTCCATCTCCAAATCTTATGTTTGTTTCCCGTTGTTTTGGTCATACTGAAAATCTGGTTAAAATTGAGGTAAAGTGTAATATTTTGTAACCTGTCAGTTTTATTATGTGAGTGGTTGCATTGACCCCTGCTATAAAATCTAAAGCCTGAGAACCAGTCTTTGTATAGAGCA